GCTGGAGCTTGGGATTGATGCTTTACTGCTGTGTGTTGGGCTTTCATTGGGCTTTCATTCCTGTTCCTCTTCGGCTTCCCGGTGGAGGGAGAGTTTTGTGCATGGTCATCAGGGCAGGGTGCATGTTACAGGCCTGTTGGCATTCTCTGTACCTCCACTGTTTTGAGTGGTGTTTGGTCAGTGGGAGTAAAGTTTCAAAGCGAGAAGCATGCCTCTGCATTCGCTCAGCAGCAAAACTATCCAGGACTTGAGAGTGATGACTTTTCAAGTGTATTTGAGGGCTGCATCCCTCCCGCTGCATGACCCCATTTACAACCCATTTCCTCAGCGTGGTCCCACGCTCCCAATCTGCAGCTACAGACTCCTGGGCCCTGTTGATGCCCCTCACTCCCAGCCAACATGCACCCCCCATCCCCAGGTCCCACAGTCCCCTGCCCCCCAGCAGCATCTGAGCCCCAGCTGTCACCCGTGGGAGGTGGCAGCTGCTGCAGCTGGAGTGGACCATGGAGCCTGGCTCCCTTTTCTGCTCCCACCCCCTGCCTCTGCAGGCAGCACAGCAGGGCAGGAGTGGAACCCACAGGGGGAGGGGGAATGTGGGCTTCCTGTTGCAAGCTTGGGGCTCCCTGCCCAGCTGCCCCCTGGGGCCTCAGCAGCCCAGCAAGCTGGGACCCAGGGCAGAAGGGAGCACTGCACAACTGTGGCCATCAAACTGAGGTGCCCCCTGCCTGCCTGGCAGCAGTGGGGGCACAACTTCACGTTGTCACAACTCGCCTTTTGCAGCCATGGCAGTACAGTACTCCCTCCTGTGTCAGGTTCCCACCTGCTGGGCTGTGGAGGTGGCTTCTGCCCTGGAGCTGGTCTGGCATGGCTGCAGCCTTGCACCCTGCTATGGGGTAAAAAATCTCAGGCGGCGTGTGCCCCCCCACCCCTGTATCATCTGTCCCCCCTGCCCTCCCACTGCTCCCCACAATGCGTCCCCTGTGCACCTTCCTCCCGACCCCCATAGACTTACCTGGAGGGAGCTGTGGGAGCTGCTGTCCACCACTGCTTGGCTG